TCAGATTTAATTAAAAAAAGTGTTTGTTAAAGGAATTAATTATTGCTATGTTCTCGTCTATCTATTAAATGAATTCATTGATTTATTGTACCATTTTTACAATAATCTTAAATTTATCTACTTTTCCTTGAAATTCTGCAGTATTTTGCAGTGCATTTGCACAAGGACGAAGAGTGAATAAACGTGAATATCAGGAACGCAGTCCTTATCAGCTAGAATTTTCGCATTAAAAATTACAAAATAAAATAAAATATAAAATGAAAATGAAATAAAATGCAATCAAATAGAATAAAATAACAAAAGTGATAATAGTCTGAATAGAAAAGGAAATGAACCGTTTATATTTTACAGAAAACGAAAAGTACTTACATTAAAGAAGTTGTCGCAGAAAGCTTTTCATTTTTATATTAAACATTCAATAAATGAGTAAAATATGTTTTATTCATTGAAATTTAATAAAATAAGTTAGCAAATGCGGTTATAAAAATTGTGCTTAATAGACTCTGATGCGTAGGTCAAGTACCTCATATGAGTGAAGAGATACCCTGCTCTAAAAACCTTTGGTTCAAATATTATAGTAAACGGCAAGTAGGCGGACTATATGTGTGAGTTAGAAGGATGACGTAGATCAGAACGCTCGAAGTCTAAAGGGTTTCCCAAATGGGCAGCATATGGTTTATGGGGTGACTGTGAAGATTGTTCAATAACAGTTTGACATATGCTTTGTAATGATCAACACAAACTGCAGTATACTTGGTACTGTTATGTTGAAGTAACAATTATAAGCGGCTAAATATTTATGATGAAACTAGCGTTAGGTTAAGTTAGGTTTAGGTAGCGACTTTGTACCTAACAAAGACCACCTGAGCTCATAGAATGAACCGTTGTGGTACCACTAGGGTTAGAAAAATAACTCCGCCAAAAGTATCCTTTGTTTCTAATAGATACTGTCGATGCATTTTTAAGTGCTTATAACTGCATTTCTAATTTTTTTTGATGTAAGCTCAACTTTTATCAGGCCCAAAACGACAATATATGGCCGAGTGTCGCTATCTCATGATAGAAACCCCTTATCAATATTAGTCTAGTCATCGTTTTAAAAAGACGATTAAGGTCAGTTGCTAGCACAACGGCAGCACTGATTTGCTTAACTATGAGATCTAAAAGCTGTGATTTTGTATCTAGCTGTATATAGCATCTACCTTTTTTTGTATATCCTTAACTTTCATTAGCATAATAAGGTCAATATAAGGCCGTGTCCCCATCTCATGATAGAAACTCTTAACCAAAGTTAGTCTAACCATTATTTTTAAAACACGGTTAGCGTCAGTTGCTAGCAGCAATGATTAGTTCCACTATGAGATCTAAAGCTGTGATTTTGTGTCTAACTGCATATAGCATCATTTTCTATGTAAGTCAACTTCCATGAAATTATTATTTTGGGTTGAGATTCATCTTCCCTATTTTGCGGTTCCTTTACCACATTTTAAAAACTAAAAAACTAAAAACTGAAAGAAATTAATTCTAAAATGGTTTCTTAAATTCTTTTGGTTTTTTCCTTCATATGCTTTTACAATAATGTATACTTTTATAATTCTTACAAATGATGTAAAATTTTGTAAGCTGATTGGAATTCATTTATTCATTCTGTGTTACGTATTCGGAAATTAATTGCAGCAGAAATGCCATTGGGAGTGAAATACATTATTCCACATAAAATATCGATATTCGGTAGTGCCACGCATTTTCGCCACAACCGAAAACAAAGAAATAATTATCGGCAGTGATAGTTTTCTCCACCTTAGTGCCATGTTCTGCTGACCAGAAAAACTTCGTTGCCAGGGCATGAGCTTGCATTAAAGGCAGTTCACTACCTCATCCTTGTGTATGTATGTGTGTAGGTACGCTGACATGCACAAGTCCATTAAGTAGCAAATAAATGCCATTAATATCCTTCTGAGGACATAAGCGGAAAAACGTAGCTCCGCGTGTTCAAGTGTGACAGTGGAACTCCTGTGTGTGAAGGATTTTATAATTTTCTGTTTGCAAAAACGCGTTGAAAATTAATGCAAAGAATCGCCGTTTAATATGTCATCAAAGTGGAACAATTTATTGTTCCTGCAATGAGATAAAGTCACTCACGCCATTAAGGAATTGAATTGGAAAAGGCTGAAGGGAAAGGAAAGCAGAGAAGCTTTTAATATTTCATGGGTCGCATTTCTTTTCGCAGATTAAGCAGCAATTTCGTTTGAATTATATCGAGCACCCGAAGCTCCAATTTATTTGAAAAATACACCGACCCAATGCAATTTAATCTGCTCCCCAATAGCCCAGTCATATGGGCATTATTTACCGTTAAATTACCGACATTGACAAATTGTATCGCAGGCAGTCATATAAATTATTTTTTCTAAATGCCCTAAAAAGTGCTGAACTACACGATATAATGACATTAATGTGTGTGTCAAGCACAGAGCAGAGCAGAGCAGAGCAGTTGTGTGTATTTGTGAGCTTTTCCGAGTGCGTTACATGTCGTATGAGTGATTTATTTTATTTGCTGTAATTAACTAAACCAACTCCGATATGTGAGATACAACAAATAATTAAGAGGAACTCAGGCGAGAGCTATAATCGAAACCGTTCATTATAGATTACAGCCATGATTCAGCAGCATTTGTCAAGTATCTTGTAGCAAAGCAGGGAATGTACACAAAAATGCCAACAGAAGCGAACTAAGAAGACATATGCTGATTTATTTATGTATATAATATAGTTAATCCCAATAACGGAGTTGTTTTTTATACAATTATTTGTGAATTTATGAAATTAAATAAATTCATCGATTAATAATTTAATACCGCATATACCATTGCTAAGAATGGACCATCAGTAATAATGATAAATCTCGAATTCCACTCCATAGAGTCAGAAGCTTAAACCTTTGAGATGTTTGCTACAACTGAAGTATGGATATTCTTGTATTGTAATGGTTTCATGTACTTCAAGTCTTGAATTTCACTTCATGTAGTCACAAGCCTGCCGTCAGTTGTAATCTACCAATGCCCAACTTTCTAATTTTGAGCAAACTTCGTCCTTCAGTTGGTGTTTGATAGCCGTTCAAAGCAGACAACCTCATGAATTTCTACGAAAATGGAAAAAAGTGAATTTCGTGTGCTGATTAAGCATTCGTGGCCAAAATCCCAGAATTGGAATACGAACTGCTATCCCATCCAGCATATTCTACAGATTTAGCCCCCTGCGACTATTTTCTGTTTCTAAACCTAAAGAAATGGTTGGGCGATAAGAGATTTGAGTCAAATGAAGAAGTCATTACCGAAACAGACGTGTATTTTGAGAGTTTTGGGAAAACCTATTATTTGAGAGAAACGGAAAGTTAAAAAAACGCTGATTATGTTGAAAAATAAAATGTTTATTTGCCGAATAAAATTTGTTTTATTCAAAAAGTCACTGACTTATAATCTCGTATTATAATCTTTGTCGATTCCATCAAGTAGATTTTTTTTTTGTAGTAGATGGAAAGCATCAAAAGCCACAGTGTGAGTCTTGAACTCACTGAAACCACCTTTTAGGAATCTATGGATAAAATTTCCACAGCGAAGTGAAAATTTTATTCCAGTAATCAGGAAAGCAAAATATGAGCAACACAGTTCATTACTGGAGGACTAGGTTTATCTAACCCAGAAATCATGGGTATAGCGCAAGTAGATTTGGAGTATATGGAGAGAATGGGATTATAGTGCGAGCGCGGGATCGAAAGCATCGTTTGTAAAAACTGACGATGGGGGTATCAGCGTCTCGTTCATCGAGGTGTAGCGTGAGATATTAAGGGGGTTCGAAGCGAGAGGCTTGCACGCGATATGCGAGAAGGGTACTGAGGGTGGAGCTGTCAGTGGTTGCTTGTACCACCGGGTGAGTTAACGTTGGATGTGTCGTGAAGAACGGTGTTAGCCGTTTGGAAAAGGCTACTAGATTTAGACCATGATCGCTTGCGTTGCAAAAATAGTTCCATTTCAATGCGTTCAAATAATGTTTTACTGATGGTAATCAAACTTGTATCCATTGAGATTCATGTTGCACCCGAACATCAAGCGTCTTTGTGTACCCTACTATTTTTATAAGATTCCAAACTTTCATATGGTTAATGCTTATTACCTCCGTTAAAAGCGTCTATTTTGCTTCACTATTTGCAAAATTGTATGAGGTTTTTTAGTGGATTAGAACGAGTTGCATTTTTAACTTTAAAGTTTTTGGAACGAACCTATTGTGAAAATCTTTTTTTTTGCGGTGGGTGAAAGCCCAAGTGCGAGACTTGAACCCACTTAAACTACTTCGAATTGAGAAGATTTTAGTCATCAAGCAGTAAGAGACTTCCAAAGAAAATCGCATTGTAAAATCGTAATCAGGAGGTACCATCGAAAATATGTTACTGTATTAAAACGACTTCTACTCTGACGCCATGCTAAATATTCAGATAGTTTGGATAGTGGTCTTTTTTCTAAGTTAGTTGCCATTGTTTATTTACTTTGTATAGATATATCTTTTTGGAATAAATAAAACTTATTAAGTTAGAATATTAGCAAAAAAAATCTAGAATGTTTTTTTATCAAGTATATGAGAATTACTTTTGTATATAATGTAAGCACATTACTTACATTACGTAAATATATTACTTATATTGTATTAACAAACCTTTTTGAATTAATTTAATTTGAAATATAAATACTATTTCATTATATCGTTGGTGAAAAAGTTAATCCATAAAAATATCCGTGTTAATTTCCCTCTACAGAAAAATACTTTAAAGGCCATTTGCATAATATCAGCTCCCAATTGTGCATGAGTACCATAGTTCACCCATTCACTTAAAATCTTTTCTATGTTCAAATGAGGAAAATTTTAAATTACCAATTCAATTGATTTGTATGCAATTTCGTTTCATTGAAGTCCTTACAATTTTCAATTTTCTATTTCTATTACAGCCAAATTGGATGGTGTGAAAACCTACATGCGTATGAGGCGTGTACCAAATCATCTGCAGGTAAAAGTCATTAAATGGTTCGATTACCTGTGGCTGACCCAAAAATGTTCGGATGAGGAGCGAGCTGTATCCTGTCTTCCTGATAAATTAAAGGTAAATATTAAATCCAAACTCGTTATGCAAACGCACCATGAAAAAGTGCCACTGCGTCAATGGGGTAGAGAGGCATGAAGACATGAACACATGCCACACATTAACCTCAAACACCTACGCAACGGCGATGAAAATTCAAACTATTTGGTAACATTTGCAGTGTTCGCAACTGTAGCATCGACTGAATTCAATATTTTCAATCGCTTGGAGCGAAATGCCCCACAACAAGCTCGTTGGCAGCGGCTTTGAGGAAATTTCAATTTTACGAGATTACCAATTTTGTCGTTTCGTATTTCCATCATTTTCCCCGCTCGCAGTTGGTTTCGCTATTTAACGAATTTTTTCTTCGCATTCATTTCAGGCTGAAATAGCAATTAACGTCCATTTAGACACACTTAAACGCGTTGAAATATTCCAAAACACCGAAGCGGGCTTTTTGTGTGAACTGGTGCTGCGACTTAGGCCGGTCCTATTTTCACCTGGTGATTATATATGCAGAAAAGGTAAGTGAGATTTGCAACAAAAACAGATGTTAGAAAATTTATTTGATCAATTTTACTTATAATTATTGCCTTGGTTTTTATCTTCTTTCTACTTCAACTGAAATTATGCTTAAAATCAAAAAATAACACAACAACTTTCAATCGAAATTGTACAACAATGAATATACGTGTTTGGATTTCTCGCCCTCTTCGACTCAAATAAACAAAAAAAATGATCTACGACATTTTGAAAAAAAAAAATTTGCCTTTCTGTCAAAACGTACATAAATAAACCGTTCCCCATACCAAATTCACACTCCCAAAATACTACAACATTTGTGAATGCCTCAAAATTGCCAACATTGCTGCTGTCCGCACACCCATGAACCAACAAATGCAACATTAAAAACATTTTCATTGCATTCACAACATTCACTGGACTGTTATCGTTCCTGACCACCACGCACTAACCAACTGATGAACTAACATGAACACATCCAACGTACATAAAACCTTCCAAACAAACAATCCAAACCAACCCAACTCAAATTCACAATTTCAATGGCCATTGGGCAATGGGCAATGGGCAATGGAACAATGACCAACAGGCGAGGTGGGCAAGGAGATGTACATTGTGAATCGTGGTCGTTTGCAGGTTGTTGCTGACAATGGAAAAACTGTGATGGCATCACTGAAGGCAGGTTCCTACTTTGGCGAAATTAGTATACTCAATATGGGCACAGCAGGTAAAGAACTTGGTAAATATCAGTTTTAGTATGCCAGGCGGAACAATATACTGCAACTACAAATACAACACAGCAACAGTAATAGTAACAGTAACAGTAGCAGCAACAGTAATAGCAACAACAACAACAAGTGCAATTACTATTGCAAATTAATAACAAATGTGTCACATTTTTTGATGTTTGCCTCTGCATATCTGCTTTAAACAAATAAATTTTCCATAAACAAACATTAACAAAAACAAAAACAACCAACAATTAAACAACTCAGCAACTGTGCAACTCGGCAACTTTGCGCGTCAACAACTCAGCAACACAGCAACCCAGTATGCCAGCAACATGTATGCCAGCAATTGCTGCTGTTCACAGATATGGGGAAGGCAGACAGCAAAAAATGTGCAAAGAACAAACATTTTTGAAATTTAATATTCGATCGAATCCGAATGAATTATTTTCCTTTGTTTTATCCATGGAAATGCATTAATTATTTTGATTTATTGAATGTTTGCTGAGTTCAGTTCTTTGGCATAAATTGGTGAACACATTCGTGTTTTTTTTTGTTTTTGTTTTTTGATTAGTTGAGCACATCACAGCCAAATCCTCGCCAACAACGGGAAAGATAAAATATTTTATTTTTTTATTTATTTTAATTTTTATTGTATTTTATTTATTTATTTATATTAATTGTTTCTGTGCCAATCGAAGCGAATTTTTGAAATTTCATCCAAAAGCTCGCGATTGTAAAATATCACAAAATAATCATCCAATAACGATTTTAGTTTAATTATTAATCCCCAGCATATGCGCCACCATATTTTATTCGGAAAATTTTTGTTATCAAAACTTTAAAATTTTTTTTATTTATAAAATTTTTTATAAAATGAAATTTATATAAAATTATAAAATTTCACTATTTTACAATGAAATTCTAAATAAATATATGTCATGATATATATGTTATAGGCATCCACCATGGTTGGCCATACCACGTAGTACAGAAAGCACTATTCCCCGCATGGAAATTCACATAATATCTATTACTTTATATTAGGTATATACTTACTTCCTTATTTGGCCATAACAACCCGTTACCGAGTTGCGGCCTGACGCAACATGTCTCCCCAGGCGCCTCTGCTACGTGCAAAGTGCTCCACTCTCGTACATCAAGTCCAGTTAGTGCTCCCTCAACTTGATCACTCCACCGTAGACAAGGTCTACCTCTACGTCTTCTTCCGCCGACTACTGCTTTAAACAGCCTTTTCGCTGGAGCATCTTCATCCATTCTCGCGACTTGACCAAGCCAGCGAAACCGTTGGATATTAATACACCGAATTATATCAATGTCGTGATAAAGCTTATACAGCTCGTGGTTCATTCTTATGCGGTAGTCGTCGCCAAATCGTAGACGCTGCCATACATACACACCATACATAAGCACTGGTAGAATGAGCGACTCGAAAGAATATATTAGTTATATAGAAAAATAAAATTTCAAATTTCTTATTTTCTATTGAGTCTCGGGTGATCCCAGACAACAGTTTACAAAAGACTTCCAGCTGAAAATGCATTCCAGTGTTCTGGGGGTGAAACATAAGAAGCTTAGTATTTGAATTTCCAAAATGTATTTAATGTAAACTTTCTTATTTACATATTTTATATATTGAATACTCTAACTCCTAGAAGGAGCATAGGGCCGCATTTATATATTCTGTTCCCTACAAATTGGTATCCTCTGATATTTGTCACACCTACCATTGTAGCTTTCAGTTTAAGAAATGCTGTAATAGCATTTTTTTTAGATGTTTTAAGTATTTGAAGTAGTAGTGAACTATTAAGTTCATATACAAAAATTAGTTACTGGAATTAGTACGAACATTTTGTGTTATTTGACAAAGTTGTCATTTTGTTGTTTGCAAATAGCTTATACAGAATAAATTGGTTAAAACTTTTCTAAAACGTTCATCTCATCAATTCGGCTGCAGAAAAAATTGCTGCTCTAAAGAATAGGTAAATAAAATATCAATTAAAATAAGATACGTCTTTGAAGGTGAGAAATAGTTAGTTAGTTGAGGTGGAGGGAGGACGAATCCTCCTTAAATAGCTAAGGATGAAAGCCGTTTTGAGTCCACAAAAACCTCGTTATAGTGGGTAGTAGATAGAGGGTCAAACTAGAACCAACCAGAGGCATTAACAAAGGCAAAAATCTGGCTAATGCTGATGCTGGAGATATCGCTAAGTGAGTTGAAGAAAGGGGCCCCTAGAAACCTAAACCTAGTTCTGGCCAGACCTGGACAAAAACACATCAGGTGTTCTGGTGTCATTTCTTCAAGTATTGGTAGATACGCACTACATGAGGTACCACAGGGAAGGCCAAGTCTAGCTCCATGCTGTCCTATGGACCAGTGACCCGTAAAGACAGATATTAGCTTAGAAACCTCAGATTTGTTTCTACAGATTAAGTCAGAGGTTCCACATTTGGAATAGATGGGCTAAGTAGCCCTTGACCTGGCTGCTGAGACAGTAAGGGTTCACTCACTATTTGCCTGTCGCAAAAAATGGTCACAAATCAGCCTACGCCCGTAGCTGACAGGGGCAAGGATCGAAATAGGGGTATCCGTGGAAGAGGCGCCTAGCTTAGGAAGCTCGGGGAGATTTTCCAATGAAAACTATACAAACTTTTTTTTGTGTAATCGCAAAAAAAATCCAGTATTATATTCCTTTTATGAATACTACTTTTCGAAACATTTCTATATAATTCCATAGACAATTGTAGACAACTCATTTCCAGTCTCCAGTTGATCATTGGATCTATATATAGAGCCCAATTCTCGAGACTAAGGGGTTTCTCATGAGCATAATAATATAACTACAATATAGAATTCAGTTTCGGTTTCTCCATTTTTGCCATTTAGACTGTGTTTCATTAAATTACTGAGTTATATGGCTGTATATGAAGGAATATATATTATTTTCATAAATTTTTTTTAAATAATAAATCCATGTATTACAAGTAATAATCGTATTGTATGACCAGACAGTAGAATGAAATTGTTTATATGAGCAACATATAAAGAAAACATTACTGTTAATTTTTTAACGATGCTTAAGATATACCTTCTGTTCAAAAAGTACTCGGATAAAACACACAAATTTAAATTTTATTCCAAATTTATTTTATCTCCTTTTTATTATCTTCAAAATATGCTCCTTCTGAAGCGATACACATATGCCAACACTAAACCCAATCTTCCATACACTTTTCGTAGGCCCGTGAAGGTATGGCTTTTAGTTCCTTCAGTGAATTCTCTTTTATCGATTCAATCGACTCAAAACGCTTACCACGAAGGGGCAATTTGCGGACAAATCGCTGACAACAAGAATTTTCCATAGTAAAAATCGCTAAATGCACATGAGGTAGTCTCAATTGCAGATGGCGCTCAAATTTGTACCATATGTCAAGAAAGGGTGTACCAACATAACAAAAAGTAGGTCTATTACTTAAGGAGTAGTTAACAAACAACAAAATCTGCAGAAGGTATATCATCCCATCTCACACCATAAAAGTATTTCATAAAACTATATATTTTTATATATGGTATATCAATTTTATACCCGGACAACTGCTTAATCACATTTTTTATGACCAAAAGCGTTAACCTTATTATTCCACTGCAATTCACAAGAAATATATATCCTTAAAAACTATTATAAATGCTATCAAATTTTTGCTGCAGAACATTATTTTTAGAGATTAACTTTTATTATATTGTTTTTCCTTCTCAACATACTTTTAATCTAGTTTTGAATATTGCTATTTTCTGACATCAAATATCTTAGCATTAGCAGCACTGTTTTAAACATAATTGGCAATTTTTAATGCGATTTGTATATATATATAGTCTCTTTGATACGTCCAAACTAGTTAGCTTTTTATATTTCTATGCAAACACATCACATTTAATCCTTTGTGTTTATAATTATTTTTCCCAATATCGTGATGATGGCAGTATCATGTTCTCCCCACTTCATTTCTTTGTGACATTTTCCTTTTTTCCAAATTTAAATTACCACTTCGAAAAAAAGGGGATTAGTGTGAATTTATAATTGAAGCTGAAAGCCATACGAGAAGAGTATGTGTATGGCAAAAAGGAATTAATTGGATAGTTAAATACACATACGAGTACTAATACTACATAATGTTTATTGATTGAAATTAGAGTTCTTATTCCCTTTTTCTACAGAGAATGCGTTTTTATGTGAACTCTATTACAATCTGTTTAGCTAAATTGACAATAATTAATATTTCACATAAACTATTCTAGACACATTTAAGGGATTCTATGCACTAAGTCCAGTGGCAATGATGTATATCATATACTTAAATCATTAAGGTCTCTGGGTGCTTTCCTAAACGTTCTGAAGGTGTGCAATCCGGAAGGTATCTTTACAATTTTAGAATATTTTCATTGATTGTAAGGCTCAGAAGTATTCGTGAAACTAATTGTTGATAACCATGCATTCAAATCATGAAGGGTGCTTTTCTACTGTAACTTATAAACTTTATCAATGCGCTTATGATTGTTTGTAGTATTTCGCATGGAAATCTTTGGATTATTGGCAGATTTGTATCTGACGTAGTTCGCTGTAGTTGAAATCTGTGATCCAGAAAGGTTTCAACAGACCATTATGTATATGATTTATCAAGAAGTCATTACCTAATGACAATTTAGTATTTCATCTAACGAACCAAAATATAATTTGCCAATTGAGACCTAAAACTATAAACTGGGTGGGAATATACATGATCTGCTCATGAGAAATTAACTTGTTAACTACATTATAAGCTGCAATAATTGAATAATTAATTTAATTAATTTAATATATGATTATTTTGTGAATATTAATACAAAAGATTGTAATATCAATTTATGGTGATACGATTACGAAGAGATTTAATTTTTAAAGTCAACGTCAATTAATTAAGAGTCAATTTTAATTAATTT